GTAAGCTATTCATGAAACTAAGAGCATATTCACCAGTCACTGAAACCTAGATAATGAAATSTGAAAGAACAGACTGTATTTCTAAGGATATTTGCACTGATGTAGATTTTCTTTAAAAATCCCATCCTACTGAACTTAWAGCAGTTATGAAAACCAAACTGAAGTCCTCAGGGCTGTATAAGCTGAAGAAGACAGGTTTTCAGCAAATGTCAGGCTAGCTACATTAAATCTGATAGACCACRGTTTTGGCACATACATTTATATCAACATTGTCAATGATTAATCCATCAAATGACACAGGTTGCTTCCAGAACTTTGAGATATTTTCTCCCTTTTCAACTGGCTTTATATACTACATATGGCTGTTAATGAACAGAAAGAGCTCTGCCATGCTTTTCCTATTTTCTCTGAGACAAGTAAACAAAAGCAAGTATTTCAGGCACAACCTCATCTGATTTCTAACATAACTAAACCATGACCATAACTTTGTTACTCTATTTGTATCCACATACATTTCCACTCTGAAATTCACTAGTAAATTTAGTTGCAAATTTTACTTGGGGCGAAAGCCACTTTTGAATAATATATACATTTAAGAAAATCAAATAAAAATTTGTCAGTTGTTTGATTCATTCACTGGAAAAAAACCCCAACAAAACATTATTGCAAAACACTGTTAAAGAAGCCAAGAAAACTGGGTTTGTAGTGCTGATCATATAAATTGTTGTGCCAGAAAGTGAAAAGGTACCATATGATAAGTGCAAAATGGATAATACATCATAAAATGCATGGTGGTATATTAGATATACTCAGAGAATGATCTGAATCCAATAACAATTAATTGCATTAACTTTAAATTAATAAATGGTAAATAATGTTGCCAACTAACTTTGTGACCACTTGTAAGTGACTGATTGCTAGAAAAGTCAGATGGACTTTTATCTAATTAATTTTATTACTTGCCCTTTCTTTGCTCAAAATTAGCTTTTTACTGTATTTAAATGTAGCTGGGTATAGAACACAATTTTGAAAAATTGTCAGAAAGTAAATCTAAACATTAGGATTAAGAACYGCATTGTACTCTGTTCCAGAATTATTGTTTTGTCCTAGTACTTCAGGTGATCAACTGTACTGAAGCATAAATTGCTGGTATTAAGTAGTAACAATACAATAAACYGTTCTTCCCCTTCTTCCTAACAGTCTGTTCACAGGAATACACCTTCCATCTCTTTTGGATGAATTCAGAAAATGTCTGAAATAATCAGAGCAATTTTTCTCTTTATTAATGCAACTGACTGGCTTTAGCATTTAATCCACTATTATATTTTCTTGTTTCACTTTCAAAATATGTAAGATTTCCTTGCGGTGTTACAAGAAATCACTTCCTTTTTACTGGCTTTGGTTTAGGGTGTTTGCTTTTTTAAAAATTTCTGRTATTATTATTTCAATACTTATTTAGATTTCATCTTCAAGGATGGTAACAAWCACTATAATTCATCCTCTGAGAACACAACTGTAGATGGTCCACTGGAAAATTATGTGAGTATCTGTCCTGTTTATATGTAAATGTCTATTTTGGTGGATCAATGGATGACTTAATGACATGGGTCATTTAAACAAGGGGCTGATCTATGGCAATCTTCACACTTCAGCAGAAGGCTGCAAGGTAAAGGACTCATTTGTTCCATAACCAGTTTTACTAAGTGAAGATGACTTAACACAGACATTTCTAAGGACATAATACAGATGCTCACTCACTGTCACACCCTTTCTGTGTTTTATATGACAAAATACCCGTACATGTAAGCAGCATGGCAAAAACTTCATGACATTAACATGACTAGGCCTCAGTAACAGTCATTCTGTAAGGTTTCATTTTTACTTTGAGCTTTGTTGTTACTAGTGACAACAGTGGAGGAAGGAGTCACTGTTTTGGTTAAATTTAACATGCAAGAACTGACACACCATCACTGCTAATGCAACAGCTGCAGATACATTAGGGGCGAGCTACCCGCAGAATCTCAGGGACAGATCAGGGCAACAACTGCACTTTGACACCAGGAATCTTAACAGAGGCAACTACACAGCACAGCTACCCTCGTCCAACATTTTCATTCCAMACCTACTATGCTACCAGCAGTCTTCTCCTCCCTTTCACTAGCCTGCTAATATCAAAATTTTGTATGTAGGCTTACGACATTTCAGTGTCTCAGGATGTTCCCACAGCTCCGCATGAGCTCTTCCTTTCCAGGACACAACAATCTCAAAAGTGCAGTTTCCCAAATAACATGACTTTCACTGAATAGGCAGCTGCAATCAAGATTTATCTTCAGCTACATGAACTTGATGACAACTGACAAGTGGACTTTAGCGTATAAAGGGCTTTCACAACTCTGTTGAGCTTTGTTATCATGGTCTTGCCACTGTCTCCTGTAATTGTGCCTTGGTAGCCACTGCCAGAGCTGTTCAAGAAACTCTCCAGGCTTTGTCCACTGCACACATTTAATTTCTACACAACTTTTGTGTCCTAGAGTATTATGAGTTACATTCCCATATGACAGCATTCAGAAATATGCCTTTCTAGTCAAGTACAAACAACCTATTATTAGAAAAAGCCTACCATTACTGAATTGTCATTCTAGGCATCTAGATATGTTCTTGATTCAACCTACAAAAATGTACCCAAACCATTACCTGCTTTAGATCACTTTCATATTAGCAATGTGAGGATTTTGATAGCCACACTTTTAATGACATGCTGTCATCACCATTATTTCTAATTTCAAATATGCACCTCTTGTCTTTTTATAGAGAAAAGAACAATGGCAACAATCCAAAAATTGCAAGGCTCTAGTCTCTGTGCACAATGTACAGTTACCACAAAATCCTACCACACAGTTGCTATTAAGAGCTGTAGCTRTCTCCTTCATTAACGCTGCTGTCAGCACACAACCTGGCATTGATCCACACATGATCAGCATGACCTGGAAGTATGTTTGCCTCTTACATAAACATATTAGGATGCTGCAGCATTAACATTAACCAAAGAAGCTACAAACAATTGCAAAAAACATGCAGCTCCCTCATTATATCTTTCATGGATTTTCTTTGAAGAATTTCTTCTTACTTTCAAGTAAAATGAATTCAGCAAAATGCAATTAATCCAGAAAAAGGATGATTCTGAAGTTGTTCTGAATTTTTAGAATGTATTTTGTGTCATTTATTTAATAATCTGAGGAACAGGAGGAGAGTCAATATAATCAGATGATGCCACACTTCTAATACAGTTTCCATTTCCGAATTTAGAAGACCAACAGTCAAAAACATGGATCAAAAAGGATTCAGAGAAGAGAAGAGACTATAGCATAAGCACTGGTTGTCACATATTTAAGTGTGGGAAATTTAATGTTAAGGTATTCCCAATTCGCCCAGTTAAAAGCCTAAGGTATGAAGTATCTTAGCATTTTTTCCCCCTACTTTTTTTTTTTTTTTTCAATATATGACTACCACAATAGTTTTATTACTATCTATGTGCTTATAAATCAGTGTTCTTTTTGTGCCTATGTTTCATTTGAAACATGGTATTCAAATGGTAATAAAAATTCGTATGTCAACAAAATCAGGAAGCTTTTAGGAGAGAGAAGGCCTTAGGTGTGGGGACAGACCATGTAATTTGCATGCTATGAGACCTGTTTCCAGACAGCTCAGTCCAGATGAACTCCTCTAACAGGCACTGCTGGGGGACTTGCTCATAAAACTCTATTCATTATTTTTACCAACAGCTAATTGTTTCCAACACAGGCACTGCCTTTGTAATGGCATGGAGACTTTAATTCTCTTCTATGTTCTTTTGTTTTCCAGTTACAGAAAAAGACTAAGAAGCCTCATTTACTACCTCTAAAGCTGTAGCTTCAGTTTCTACTTTTCATCCTTCACACTACAAGCCCCTTCTCTCTCCACAGTGTGTAAACAAAAGCATTTGTGCAATCATGGAAACAAGATTAACAAACAGGTCTTGGACTCAGTGTGGATCCTTGATCCAACTCATCAGTTGGGAGAAATGTTTGTGCCAGCACCTATTAGAAGCCTGATGCCAAACCGACTACGCAGCACACACACCATGCCCTGAACTCACATTGTCCCCAAAACACCCTCAGTGGTAATGCTCACACCTGCAACTTGCAAGGCTTTCTCACATGGATTGCATCAAAAGCCATAGAATGACGTGGGTCAGAAGGAACTTTAAACGTCATTTAGTTCCAAGCACCTGCCACGAGCAGGGACACCTTCCACTAGACAGGCTGCTCAGAGCCCCATCCAACCTGGCCTAGAACACTTTGGGAGATGGGTCACCCACAACTTTTCAGGGCAGCCTGTGCCACGACCTCACCACCCCCACAGCAAAGAACTTCCTCCGAAATTCTTCGCTAAACTTACTCTGCTTAAGTTTTAATCCATTCCCCCTTATCCTGACATTCCCGGGTCTCCTTCTCTTCTTTCTCCTTCTCCCCAATCCTCCCAGCGCCCCTCAGCCCCCGATGCCGGGCGCGCCTKTTCCGCCCGAGCCCGTGACGCGCTGATCTATGACGTCACTTCCGCTCGGCCGGGCCCGCCCCGTGCCGCCGCCACCGCCCCTCGGGGCCTCGGACAGCGAGGGGAGGGGCAGGAGGAGCAGCAGGAGCAGCAGGAAGAGGAGAAGGAGGAGCAGCAGCAAGAGGAACAGGAAAAGCAAGAGGAAGGGTAGACGGGAGGGGGAGGATCCGAAGAAAGAGGAGGAGCGGAAGAAGGAGGAGGAGGAGGAGGAAGAGGAGCGGAAGCGGAAGGGGGAGGAGATGGCGGCGGGGGCCTCGGCGACGGCGACGACACCGACCCGGAGCGCGGGCGGGCGAAACACCCGCGGGAGGGCGGAGCCGCCGCTGCCGCCGGCGCAGCGCCCCGGCGCCCGCTCGGAGCAGTGACCGCCCGGCCGCGTYCCCGCCGCCTCCGCCTCCGCCTCCCTCAGGCCGCCCGGCCCTCGCCCAGCCCGCATTCTCCTCCGCCCCCGGCGGCTGTGGCTCTTTGCCGTCCCGGCACCGGCGACGGCGGCCCCAGCGTCGGGGAGACCTCAGTCCCCCGTCCCCGGTGGTGCTGAGCTCAGGAGTCCCGTCGCTGTGCCGGTGATTATGCGTGGTCGGCTGCGGACCCTGCATCTCTCCTTCGGCTGATGCCCCCGCTGTCCCCTCGTCTAGGCTAGAGCAGGTTGAGCGCCAGCACCTCGGGAAATCTTCAGCCATGTATTTCCTCAGCGGCTGGCCCAAGAGGCTCTTGTGTCCTCTGGAGTCCCTGGAGCAACCGCTTCACATCCAGACGGATCCCCAGAGAGCTTTCTTCGCAGTTTTGTTCCCATCTCAGCTAAGCATCTGGTACTGCAGAGTGAGTATCCTTGGTCTCATAAGCTCTTGGACCTTCCTCTTTCAGCTGACAAGACCTGTCGTCTGCTAATTATTTTTTTCTTCTTCCAGAAACGATTGTAAAAATTGACGCTAACTTTACAGGATATTTCATTATTTGAAATCTGAGCAGTTATCCACCGTGTTTAGTGATAACAGGATAGCGTTAACAAAATATGCAGCATCAATTTGCTTGCAGTTAACACCGTTTTTTCCTAAAAAATGCGACTTCCAAGGAACTTTTTTTTGAAACTCTGTGTAGTGCTTGTGCTTAACATAAGGAGTGTTTGTAGCAGTCGGGTTTATGTGCACATAGGCTTCATGTCTTCCACCTTTTTATTTTCTGTGTTTTATATAAAAGAACATAGTAATGTAGGAGATACGAAACACTTTTTGTAAAGCACAGGACAACTTCTATCATTATTCACCCAGAATGTTACTAGACAGAAGTTCACAAACTTTTCTTTTATGGAATGTGTAAAAGATTTGTGGTCATAATAGAAGACTAGTCATGGCTTGTGCATGGAAGTTGCCAAGTCAATCTAGCTACACCTAATTTGAAACTGTGAGTAATGGACATTAAATGCTGTGCTTTTAATTCACATTGTATTAGTATGATTACAAAACTGCTGTTTGTCTCTTTGATTTGATGTAGTCAATGAAAACTGTGATACTAACTTTAAATTTTGATGCTGAATCCTTTTAATATTGCCTAGATTAGACCCTAGATCTGTCTATAAATATCTCCAGCTCCAGGTGGTTTATAGAGTTCATCTCGGATTACCAGGGAAAACCAACAATCCAGTTTTAGAAAGCTGATACTGAAAGATGTCAAATGACAGTCATAACCTTAAAATCTCCTTTTAAGTTATGATGAGATTTCATCATGTTGTGTTTTATTATGCTCTGCAAGGCTGTTCACTCATACCTGCTGGGTGCTGATGCTGTTTTTTGAACCTAGACAGGTATCCAGCTATCACATAATCAGCTCGATAACTACCGTGTGAACAACATCATGTGGCCCATGTTTTCTTAGATTTCTGGCACACGGTGCATCGAAAGTGAACACTCTAGCTTTTGCCAGTTGTTGAACTTGTAGTTGTAATCTGTCAACAGAGCAGAACTGCTCTTCTTTTTCATGAAAAAACATAGAAAACAACAGTCTCGTGAAATGCTTCACGAGATGTACCCTTGTCTAGAAAGTAGTTTATAGTCTGTTCTCAAGGACGAGGTTCATTAGCTTGCATGCTTGGACTTGTTTTGAAATGTTAAACATTGTATAACTGGCTACAGGCAGAGCACTGAAGAATTCACTTGCTGCAGAAGTGTTGAGTATATTCACAGGCCATTAATATTTTTAAAATAGAAATTGATTCAGTTTGTTGTGGGTGCTTTTGAGGAAGGTGCTGGTTTTGCCAGGCTTGACCACTGACTGATCTTAAACTGGAAAATATGTTATAGTCTCATGGCCTTTTTGGACAACATGGGTGTTATCAAAAAATCTGTAAGAACAAAGATTTTGGTCAAGGTAATTTTTAAAGTTAATTTCTTGCATAATTTTTATGTATATAGCTGGGGCTCTGAATGGGGTTTGGGTTTTTTTTTCCCCCAGGCTTTTCTTTTTTGTCAGTTTTTTTATTTGTGCTCAAAGGTGAGGCTTAAAAATATATGAACTTTGATAAAATAAAATTATACATTCTATTAAATATTTTTGTTTGTCAGAAGTATATTCTTTGAAACAAGAATAAGTTCTAGTCAGGTTGAACTAACTTGATTTCTTGAAGTAGAAAAACCTTCAGGCTAATGTTCTTGTTAAGACTTGTTACTATCTCAACTATATATCAAAGGTTTCATGTAAGAATGAGGTGGTGAGACTGGGAAAGTTCTGTTTTGAAATTTTCAAAAATGGGTCTCTTTGAAATGCTTCCAGGCGTGTGCACTCAGTATCTRTATTTTTAAGGAGATATAATAATGTGGCAAGCTCCTTTTCACGTTCTGCATACTAAGAACTGGTGGAACTAAGGGGAGTTTATCCTAAGGTGTGGATTGTTTTCTGTTTGGAATCAACATACGTATTAAGACTCAAAACTGGGTAACTAGTGTTGGGAGAAAACTGATGGAATTCTGTGAGTGTTTTTGAACCAAAAAGTCCTTGACTATTTTACTGTTGGTTAAGTGGGATTGGATTGTGGATAGAGAAGACCATTCAGGTGAATGTTTTGGATCATGCACCAGTCTTGGTGAAAGATCACTGGGCACACATCCCCGACATGTTGACATTTGTTTATGAATTATAGGCATGTGCTACTGTACTAGTATGCACATTAGCAAGCATACACATCATAGTCTGTATTGTTCTACCCTAATTTTATTCTGTCGTTTTCAAAGGGGCTTATATTGGCCACCTMGTCCAACTGTCTGACCAATTCTGGGGTGACCTAAAGTTAAATCATCTTATTAAAAACATTGTTCAAATGCTCTTATACACTGGTAGCCTGGGCATCAGCTGCATCTCTTGAATGCCTGTTCCAGAGTTTCAAAAGAAACAAAACAAATGAACAAAAAAGAATGATGTAACACCAAAATAAACACATTTTTTAATGATACAAAAAAATTCTTTCTTGCTCCCTATTGGATTCTGCTAAATACACCCCACTGTATTTACTCTGTTCCAATTATTTTTCTTAAACCAGAAGTTTTAGGTCTAGGTAACTTAGAAAATTCCTTGACACWGAGAGCCAATGACACTATTTTCATTGACAGCATGGAAAAGTCTGTCAGACATTCTGGTAATGTTAAATACTTGGAAGCTTGAAATAAGAAACATCAATTAATGATAGAACCTTTCTAAAATGCTGTAATGAGATAATTGATGATTAATAGATTGACTTGGTAACTGAAGATGAGATTTCACTAGGCAGCTGTGCCAGTCCTATGTGTCATGATCTTTCCTGCTTACACCTCTATTTTAATGGGTCATATGGTGGACTAGTGATGTTTTTTTACAGGGCCRTTAAGCTTAATGAACAAATAGAAGCCTGTTTATTTAGTTGATGACGGGGGTCAAAGGAGCATTGTAGCTGGCCCTTTGAAGGTGTTACTCCTTTGAAACACTTGTGGCTTTAATTTTGAATTGGTTTGATTATCTCTTGAATTCTAGAAATTCACCCATAGGAGTCCAGATATTAAGGGAGAATCTATGCAGCTAAGGAAGAAGGTGTTGTAGATGAGTGGAGTTCCCTGCCTAACCCTGGACGAGTGAGTTGTGTGCAACAAGAATAGTCTGCTGATGCAGTTGTATATATGAATATGGTTCAGCGTTTCCTTTCTTTAGTATCAGCAAACTTGTGACAGTGACAGGAATATATGCTGCTCTTGAATATTTAATGAAAACTTTGTAGGTTGTTTGATTATCTGCTGTGACTGTGCCCGTCAAAACCAGTTTTGTGAGCCCTTTGAAGCCAAGGGTAGCTTGTCCCGTTTGTTCACTCAGAGAAGAATTTCTTGATTACCTATATGCAGCTCAGATTATGATTTACATTTACTCTTCTTTTTTAAAATTGTGTTTTAGTTTCTTTTTTTTCTGGTGATGTGATACTGAGTCAGAGCACATAAATGAACTAAAATGAGGTTTTGGGAAAGCTTGCCTGTCAGAATCCTAAATTGTCAAATAATTGGTATTCATTCTAAATGCTGGGTAAGTTGTTCAGACAGCTCTCGTGGCTGACTCTTACGTGCTCTTCAGTCTCTAGCTGTTGCCATTAAGAGTTGAAGTCATATGTGCTTTAAATCTAAGCACACAATAGAACAAAACAGGAGACTGCATCTGTTGGGGAAGTGATCTCCATAACCTGGAATTTTGCCATGCTATAAAAGGAGTTATTTGTGACACCGTGCATAGAGTTTATAAGATTCAAATTATCATTCAAATTATCTTCAGTTGTTTCTGTGGTCTTTTTAATTACAAGTGGCCATTAAAAAAATGTTTTCACTATGCTTTCAAGATTATGTCTTCATTTCAGAACTGTAAGCAGAATAATTTACAGAATTATTATGTGTGGCTTTTGCTTAATAGAATTGAATACAACCTCTGTAGGATTTTTATCTAGAGTTTGCAGAATGGRGCAACAGATGTCTTGGTATTCATGTAAGTGGTAATGTTGGCTGTATTGTGAACAATATGACACAGATAGCATCAGTTCGAGTTAAGATATCCTGCTTCTTCTGCTTCCTTAGTAGTTTAACCCCTGAGATGCTGCTCTCTTATTGATGTCCTTTAGACATTTGTCTGAGAAGGCCATTTCTTTTCATATGTCAGTAACAGTTGTGCTCCAGCTTCTACTAAAARGATGCGTTTGTGATTACTTAATGTTAAATGTTACACTGATGTATTTATCTAATGAAATGCAAAATTGTCATATGGTTATTCAGTAGCATTTASCAGATGTTCAGTGTCTCTTGTGTTAATATAAAATAGATGACCCCTGAAAGCTGGGTCATAACTACTTTCATGAAGGGAAGAAGCATTGTCACTTATGAGTTTTCACTGTCCAGTTAGCTGGGTGTGTAAAATGTGCCTTTACTTTTTGGCAGCACTTTGGATTACTAGATTAACTGAAAACTTTCACTTRGGAGAGGTAGTGATTGACAATTCTGTACTTTGGTTTTCTGAATTTCACAATAGCCATGAAATGCACTATTGGAAGCTGTGTCTGCTATGTTTGTTGGGTGGAGACTGTTGATTATAAGCTTTCCTAATACTTTGAAAATTAATTTAAAGGTGTTACAGTTGTATAATTAACCATGCTTTTAGAAATTCATTTATGACCACTTTGTATCTCTGTTACTGACAAAAAAAATTTGTGGTCTATCTGTATGAATTTTTCTGTGCCTTAGGCACACATCCTTGCTTTTCTCAAACCTTTCTGTTTCATTAGTTTATAATATTACAAAGCTTCAGCATTTAAAGTGAAGCACTCACCATGTAGCAACGAAATAAAGTGCACGGTGTCACCAGGCTTTTGTTCTGTTCTGCTTTGTTTTGTTCTGTTTTCTCCCAGCCTTGTCTTTGTCACTTAGATCATAAGCTCATCTGAACAGTGTTTTTGATTTTTGTCTTGTGCCTACAGCCTAATGAAGCATTGAAGCATTTGTCATATAAAACTAAAGAGAACATTTGTGTTTTTTTAAAGGAATGGCCTCTTTATTACAAATGTGATGGATCTTTGATGTCCACAATAATATATGGTCAGGGCTTGAGAATTTTAGGTTTTAACAGTTATCCACATCTGTGCAAGTTCTATGATTGCCGTTACATTAAGAAACCCAAACCCGTGCTTAAGACCATGTTGCATATGTGCTGTCAGGCCATGTGTTGGATTTTCAGRCTTAGTTCAGTAGTTTTCTGTTGTATTTACTGACCTACTTAACTTGTAAAATCCACAATATGCAGAGTTTGTCATTAACCTACAGCAGAGAATCTGGTTTAAGGAAACTAMTTTTTTCATTATTTTATATTCTGTCAAATGATTGCAGCTCTTTCCRGTTGGTTAATGTATCATTTTCTGTGACACTCTGTAAACATCTCAATTAGGACAGGCACTCACTCATGGGAGGGCTGTTGTTCAAGGCTGGCTGTTCAAGGCTACYTGTCCTCTTTAAAAAAGGCCTTTTCAGAACAATATTCACATGTTAGTTGAGGGTTTAAATGTCAACTTGATTTGCTTTTACATCAAATGTGGTAGAATGCTTGTGTTTAGGTAAATTAAGAAGTAATTTCCCATATCAAAGCTTGCTGAGAGAGATAGCTTTAGGTTTTATATACCTTAATATATTTTTTTGTAAAAACTACTTTATATATGGCTCAGTGTTCTGACACAGTTTATGCTGCTGATACTTGGTAAATGGTCAAGATACTGTATTTGGTCAGGTAGAATTAAATAAAATAATAACAGTTTGGGATTATTTCATCATGAGTTTGGCTGCAGTGTTTTGTGTTGTTTGTTTTTTTTTTTAATTGTTTGCATAGGTATTTTGTCCAGATGTTGATAGGGAGCTCRTTTTTCACACTGGAAAGTCCAGAGGGATTCTTCATATACAACAGCAGCTTATAATGAAACAGACCTGAGTTTTTAGATAGTTTGAATTTAAGTAGCTTTGTTGATGGAGCTATCTTGCTACCTTACTGTTTTATGAATAGTGCAATTCATTTTTGGCCATCCAAATCACATTTGCTTTCATGTTATAATCTCACATCAGTAAAAAAGATGCATGTTTAATGCTGGAAGAATATTGTTGTGAAGCACAAAAACTTCTGAGTAAGAACTGTGGAGCATGTTAGGAAGAGATAGCCAAGGTAGCTCTCTGATGGAAGGAGATAAAGTATATTRAACTGTGAGAACAAGAAGTTCTGTTTCTTTTCAGTACTGTTAACTAGGGCACTGGAGAATCTGTTTGCACTTTAGTAATGGCAATGTTATATTCTTTTTAAGTTTTTTTTCCTATTTTTCTTCTCCCTATTTTTCTTACCCTGTAAGCATGCACTGCCACAGTTCTGTTTATAAGTGAGTGGCAGCTTCTGTTTTGCCTGACCTTATGTTCTTCCTGAGAGACAAAATGTACTGTATCAAAATACTAGATTTTCTTTGAAGCAGATTATAAAATGCCAGATATGTTTCTTATCTATTTTGGGAAGCTTTTGATAGTGTTAAATTGCAATTTGAATTAAGACTTGCGTACTGCGTTCTTCCTTGGTTTTATATTCTTTCTTCCTTAACATCTGAACATGGTTACTTCTTCCTGTGGACAGTTCTTTAACATCTCTTTAAACAAACCTATATTTGTTAGGTCCTTTGCTATGTTTCTGGAATCCAGTTTCTCCTAAAGTTGTGTCTCTAACATTACTATTTCAGCAAGTGSATTTTAATAATTTTAAAGGAGGATTAATATATTGATTTATTTGAGACAGGGGCTAGATTTCTTTGTCATTTTAGTAGCTGCATGCAGAAGTGTGAAGAGGGAAAACCGTGGAGTTTTCATGAAGCTGATACGGAGATTTGTGGTTTTTTTAACAGAAACACATGCAAAGATTGAGGGAAACTTCTAATTAGTAGATTCTAAACCTCTACTGTTTCTATACAGAGTATGAGGTAAATATATACAACTAGCAAGAGAAGAGTATCTAAATAATTAGGCTCCCTGCCTTTTTTGTGTGTGTATGTGTGTGTGTTTTTGGGGAGGGTTTTTTGGTGTAGTTTTGATATTTGGTGGGTTTTTTTGTTTTCTTTGATTTTGGTTTTATTAGTTAAAATGTATGTTCAATGGCTTGCTGTAGTTGGGTCAAGTAGTTAAGTTGTTATATATACCTGTTTATGGAAGTACTCCTTTGCCATTATGCATTTTCAGTCATTTTAGATATAATAAATGACTTCAAATATAAAATTACCACTTCTCTTTCTCTTGCGTGAGCAGWGCAGGATCTTGAGCTGTCCTTCTATCTTTGTTAATCTGAAAGATTCACACATCTATGGAAAGCTTTGAAATGGGAGAGTGCATTTTTGTGTTAGGATTTTTCTCACTTATGAATTAATGCTTTTGAGCTGTGGAGTATATGGAAATAAATTGAATCAGTGTAATAATTCATCATTTGTGATGAATTATTTAATTTGGAGTGCGTCTGCTTTCTAATAAGAAGCTACTTAAACTACAAAATGATAACATTGTGAGTGCAAGCAATCATTTTAAACTCCTGTAGTCCTCATCTATAACGCAGAAAGTCTAGAAATCAATTCATACAGATTTTATAGCTGCCGTATATATAGAATGTTCTTCCAGCTTGTAGGATGTAATAGCAGCTTTTTTGTGACTCCATGTCACAAGAATTTTACACTATAAATACTGTAATTATATTCTGTAAAAGTTGTGATCTAGAAAAAAAATCATTTTGTGCTACCAAGCTTTTAATTTTGCCTGCTGCTAAAATGCTTCAAGCACAGATGTGCTTTAAGAATGATCTCCAGGTCTACACTAATGGTGGAGAGTACCAAGACACTCACTTTTTTCWGTATATCTAAGGCCATTAAGGTGGTTTTAAGCCAGTCAGTGGAAGGCTATATAGTTTATGAGTTCAATCAATGAGAATGTGTTAAGAATAATTAGTTATCTATTTAATGTTAAATAATTTGAAGCAAATGTAGCCACAGAAATTGAAAAAGAGGTGTAAATAGTTCTTAGGGTAAAGATTAGTTTGCTTGTTATACTTCATAAATGTTTAACTTTATTTTTGATAATTCAGTTCTGTGTGGGTGTGAAATTTAAAGAATGGTGCTGTTAGGATGCGAAGTCATACTGTGAATTTACGGAGGTTAATGCTGCCTGTGTGGTAATTAATTCAGCTCTTTACTTAAATGCATGGTGACAATATTTCATTGCTTTGTTTTATACTAGTTTAAATTAATATTCATACCTTAAAAGTTAGGTTGTTTGTGACTACTTTTTCTGAAAGGAAACTTAAGGAAGTGATTCCAAATAGAATGGTTGTAGATAAACATTCTGGAGTGATGCACACTCTCATAATTTCTGGGTAGAATTAATGTTTTTATATTTGTTGTACTGCTTCTGATGTTGGGTCATGTAAGCCAGAAACAGTAGTAAATTTCCATCAGCTGTCATCTTGGTGGTGGTTGGGACKCTTTGCCTAGAGGTTTCATGGTTAATTTCAGCAAAATGAGTGATTGCTATGTACCCTCTTGGTTCACTTTCAGTGGGCTATTTCTGGTAAAGAGTTGGATGCTACTACTCTAAATGAAAACTGAGATTGATAAAGCTAGGGGACAGCATGTGGCATGAAGATGAGGGGTAACCTCTTGGACAAACATCCTTAATGTAATGTCCACCTCCCACCTTACCTTACCTTGGTGGAGGGTAATGGAAGGGGGAATACCCATCTGAGCRGAAAACTATTTCTCATTTAAGAGCAAGAAAATACAAACAGTTGTGAAATAAGGAGGAAGAATGTTTCTAGGCACTAGAGTAAGGAAGAGTAATTTGCATTAGGTTTTTGTGTCGCAGCTTTTGACTGCTTTCATGAAAGGGAAAGAACATATAGTGTCTATGGTAGCTTTGTCTGGTCCTAATGACTCCAAAGCTTTTCTCAGTTCCCAGAAGGAAAGGTGCTCATGGGTGCACCTCATCATATACAAAAATCATTCCAGCAAACAGTATAGGTGGATTTTCAGCAGGTTCTGACAACCTGTTCTGGAAAACAAATTTCCTGATTATCATTCTCTTTAATACAATGGTCCTTCCATTGAATAGAACTAAGCAAATGAATTGTACCAAATATTCTGTAGCATATTTCATCCTAATTAATTTGACAGTTAATTACAGACCTTTATAGGAGGCTGTTTGACATGCTTGTGTTCATCTTAAGCATCAGTCAAACTTTATCTAACTTGAAATTACTTTTATATTCTGTAATGACTCTTTACTGTGCAGTTATGTATTTTATTTAAATGTCCTGGGTTTGAAAGAATGAGATTAGAAATTATAGTGTGGCAGCAGTTCTCCGTGAACTCTCTTTAAAAGCACCATTGTGTTATGGAGGGCCAAATATGTATTCATTTTTGAACATCCTTCAAGGGAAACATGTTGTTGCTGCTAAGGTGACATAGTTATTTACAGATACAGCMCAATGTAAGAAACATTCCATTCCTYTTCGATATGAGATGTAATTATTTRTATTTTTTTTCCTACAGCCCAGCGTATTAATCGTAAGCTACAAGGAACTTGCAAAAGCAGCTTCTCAGTTTGGACCTTACAAGCRAGCAGAATGGCGGCCTGACAGCACAATGATAGCTGTTTCAGTAAGCAGAATTTTTCCCTTACTCTGGTTAAACTATTGCAAACAGAATTTTGTGTTACCAGTTTCTGGGCTTCAAATTTGCAGATCATATATGCATTTAATTGACACTTGCCTTGGAAAAATATGTAATAGTACCAAGGACTTTTTAGATGGTTGTAGTTTTCATTTATTTGTCTCTGTGAGAATGAGCTGCAGTTCTTTGGTTTAAAACAATCATTGGATGTATTGGCTGGGGGGGATACAGCATCTCGTCATGTTARTAATCTGATTACAAATATTAGGGGAATGTAAAGTTATGTGAATGAAAGAAATTATTGTGGGCKTGGGTGACATAATCATATTTAGCTTGATAAATAGGGTTTAAAGGTGGGTCTTAAGAGACGAAACTGCGGCCTTATTACAGTGTCTTTTGGGATTAAAAAATATTACAAGGCATTGAGAACACAGAAACAAGGGCCGTTGTAAGTACTCTTCTGTTTAGAATCTTAGAGATGAGATCTTGTCTCATGTGGAAATAAAGTCTTGTTTCATAGCTKGTGCAGTGCTCACAGCAGTAAATGGGACTATTTTACCAGCAGTATTAAACATTTGAGGTGCAAGGTAAACACAAGAAAAGTGTGAGTACAGTTTATAAGAGTCACAATATGGGATAACACTYTTGGTTTCTTTTGGTCAGGTGTTACATTAGGCATTACCAGGTCTTAAATTACATATTGTTATCTTAGTGGAAAACACCAGATGGTTTATGGACTAGTTCATAGCAATATCATGATAATCATAAATCAGTTAAGCTTCCCCTGCTCCTGGGTTTTTTTTTGTGTAATGCAAAGTAAGTAAGTAGTTGGTCTAAAATGTTAAAATTGCCTAAAAGTACCTCATGGACTCAATGAAGTATAGTWTTTCTGTTAATGTCAGATTATGTTCTTAGTGACTGCTTATAGTTATCAATAAAGGCAGAAAGGAGATTTCTGTAACTTTTGCTATGAATAAAAMGGAATTCTTAAATTTTATATTGCAGCATGTATATCTAAGTGCATTTTAATTAGACCTTTATGTAGTACTTCAGAAGAAGTTAAATTTTTTATATTGAATTACTTTGCATATTGTGCATTTTTTTTTTCCTGAGATATGATCCATTTGCTTAAGAGGCCTTGTGGTTTAGCTGAGAGTCAGATAACCTTCAGTTTCTGCCATTTCAGTCACTSCACTTTAAAGTTTTCCTGTAACTAGATGTAGAGTGTTCTTTTTGGCTGATAGTATCACAATCTAAATCCCCATAAAGTCTCAGTTTGTAAACTAAAGCTCTATGACCTAMAATTCAAAATGGTCATTGATTATAAAATAATGATTGTAGTAAGATTTCTAATATTCATGTTTCTTAGGATGGTATTGCATCCCTGGGTGTATGTATACAAGTGATATAGTCAAACATGCTCGTTATGGGCTTGTTATGCTACTTTTAAAGTCAGATGTTTTGCAGTATGCTTTTACTGTATATATATATATATATATATATATATATATATATATATATATATATACACACATACACTTTAATTTTAAACAGTTAATGAGTCCTACTGAAAGACCACATTTACAATATTGCTGGTTTTGTTATAGTGAGACAGGGCAGAAAGTCAATTTTGGGAGCTTAATGAAGAAGGTGTTCCTGTAGATGTGTGATACTGTCATCACCAAGCAGACTTCTGCCCAAGTGAATAGTTTTCTCTTTTTTCTTGATTAACACACTGAAATAAAGGAGCAATAGAAAAGCAAGTTTTTAATGAAAGAAAACAGTAATTTTGAACTGAACTAACTTCAGTTAATTACTGAAGTTGTGTGCAACAGCTAGAAATTCTAGTTTGACAGCTGAGTTAGATGATGTTTCACACCTGTTATTGCCTGTGCTCATGTGTGTCTTGGTTGTATGTATGGTTAGTATGTACTTACTGGCCAAGTGGTACATTCCTTTTTTTTCTGTTTTAAGGACACAATGATGGGAAGTGTAGTCTGGATTTTATGTCCACTAGAGCAGTGATATACCATGTTTTTTGTTTCTGACTGCCCAAATATTCAGAGTGTCTCTATGAAAATAAATCACTTTGCAGCATGTGCTTTGAGGTGAATTTTATTTATACTGCAGGCAGACTTTGGATCAGTGCATCAGGCTTTATAAAATAGCTCAAGTAGCTTTAAAGGCATGCAGTTAAACARGTTAAAGCAGTTTTCACATTGYCATCATCCCCTAGCAATTCTAACCTCTTTTACTATTAGTATCTTCTGTTGCTAAACTATTGGCATATTACCTAGGCAGATCTTCTTTTTTTCCCCTTACATTTTGTAGTTTCTTCTTTCATATTGCTGCCTTTGTAATTTTTCCAGTGTTGCTGTGGAATACTGTTGTATAGATTAGAACGTGCATCCAAGGTAGCTAATTCTAGTAGTAAATCAAACTCAGGAATGGGGTCAAGGAATGGGGTCAAGATGCTTCAGTATGGAGAAGTATATGAGGCATTTTGGTCCTTCACATGTTACAGGCAGTGCTCTGATGCAGACTGCTTTTCAGTGTGCATTTCTGTAGCTAAGACAGAGCTTTATTAAAGATGGTGGCATTCAAGAAACCATGTTGTGCATTCCCTGGCAAGGTGCTCTGTGTTTGTACTTCTGACTATCGGAGATTAGAATGGTCAGGGAATGGATGACAGTTATGGTTACTTAATTATTTTACTGCAACACGGACATTTCTATACAATGGGGAAACCTGTTTAAATGAATATGATCAATTTGCCACAAGTCTGTCATTGAATACTTCTGTATTTCATCCATCTYTTCACGGAATTTGGGGTTCTGTTTAGAAATGAATGTGTAACAATAGCAACTTTGTGCTTTGAATAGTGTGCATAAGGCCCTTTGTACCTTAATGTCAGTATAAAGATACTTCACAGTATTGTTTTACTCTTCTTTCCAGGATAAGATAACTTACAGGTTAAATATTTAATGATGTAATGGAAAGAACCTCTAAAGATGTTAGAAATGAACTTGTTTCTTTACCACATAATACCTGAATGTGATATTACTGCGCACAGAAAACCTTCCATTTAGTGTCAGCCTGTCTCAAGCTCACCATTATGGTTCAGATTTTATTCTTGCCTGTAAAAGACACCCGCTTTGAATGAGAATAATAGTGTTCCTTGGAATTTGAAGCCAAACCACAAATTTTCTAAAGCAAAATGTTTGACTGAGGGAAAACCATGGCATCTATGAAATGATAAACTATGCTTACAAGAGTGTTTCTTTATTCAAAGAAAAGGAAACCAACCTTGGAAAGCAATGTGAAACCATTCATTTCAGTGCTTTTTATCTCCAGTGCTTTGGATGGATGCCCAGCCCATATTAAAATAATTGGGTGGAAAAGCTGTTTAACAAAARTGTGTTTACCATTTGCCTGAAAAATAAATTTGTGCTGTAAACAAATAACACGTCTTTGAACAGCCAGCATTATTGGTCATCTGCTTTTCTCATGCTTATGCAAGCAGCTTCCAGGTATGACTGGAACATMGGGTAACTAAATTATGTGTGTTGGTTCTCTGCATGAGTGCTATGAGTGCTGCATGAGTAGTATGAAGTAATTCTTCCAGAATGACAGAATATGGCTTGGGATTGAATTATTATAGGTGTTGTGATAGCTAAAGGTAAGTGAGGAGAAAATCTTTGGAAACTACCAAGATGAGCACCTCTACCTGGATGACCAACACTAAGAGGCAGTGCCTAAACTCTTTGCACTCTTTAGTGTCTTTATGTGTTCAGACAATAGAGGCTTGCCACCTTCTACTATGTTGCCTGCATTAATTTATAGAGTTGGTATGAATTATGTGCTCTAAGTATCTGATACAGCTGTYAGGTTTTATATATTTGTAGGAATTAGAGGAAAAATTCTTGGACTTGTGCACAGACAGCATTGGTTTTCCATTTTTTTGACCTACTGCCTGATCTATTCAGTTGACTTTAAGGGTGGGTGTGGATTTTACCTGGAATTAATTTCAACACACAGTTTTTAAAAATGGCTGAATGAATGTATATGTGAGTTCAATTTTTGAGGCATACATATGAGGCTGAAATACATTTTAGTCATGCTGAGACTAGATATGTATCTTATCAGTGTTTCTTTTTCAGACTGCAAATGGATACATCTTATTTTTTGAAATCCCATCAGCAAGAGACAAGTATCTTTATGAGCCAATATATCCCAAGTAAGTTTTCAACTTTGAATCCTAACAGTGTGAAAAAATATAATAAGTCCTACACAGAATTAACAACAAAAAATATTTCCTTACAAAGCATGTTTTAACACTTGATGAGTGTTTGAACCGTCATTCTTATGAGTTAGAGTCAGTGCAGGGGAGAAGTTGTATTTAATTAGATTGCTGTGTGCTGGTGTGATTCCTTAGGTCCATCTTAAAAGTTCTCGGAATCCTTAATATCAGGGCTAAAATAGTCTGATTTTATAATTTGAGGTAGTCCATTGCATTCATGATCTGTAACAAGCTTCAATAATTTCTTTTGAATAACTCGGTTGAAAAAACCACGTTTTTTAGGAGCTATTAAGTTGCAATTCAAAAATCGATTCCTTTCCTCCCTMCATCTTTTAATAACCTAGAGGTTTTTTGAAACAAATGGGGAATAAAATCATATTTTTGAAAGCAAATGAATACCTTTTAGCAAGTATGTACAAGTAATTTTGGTGCAATGCGTTATGTTGTCAGTTTCATCTTATCTTCCTTATTGCTAATGACAGAATACATTTTATGTATTTAAAGTGTGACTGTATTTTGGGTATATTTGTGGTTAACTTAGTAGATTTTAGATTTAGCGAAACTGGGAAATCTTTGAGAGAAATTGAAATTTCAAGGACTATATGTGTATGTGTTTGTGTGTTTAGATAGGCAGAATCTGTAGTCTTGGGTTGGGTTGAATTTGTCCATGGGAATAATAACACACTTTTGATTTCTCTTTGTCTAGAAGCATCTTTATTTTTTTATACATCCCTCTATATATCTTCACCATTATCATAATACTAGTGAGATTTTTTTTTTCACGTTCATAAAAAGTGTTAAAGTTGAATCATGGGTGTCTCCACATGGACATCTCTGAGGAGTATTGGATAACCTAGGATGTCACATAAGAGGAAGATATTTTGATTTTCTTTTCAGTGTAACTGTTAAACCATGGACATTAAAAGAAAATAAATTAGGTTTTCACCAGCATTTAAATTTAAAATCTGTTTTCTTTCACAAATATGTGTAGGAAAGAATGACTTAGCTGGTAGTAAATGATTTCAAAGTGAATTTTCCTTCATTGAGTAGAAAATTTTGTGTGTGTTATAGCTATAGTGCATTCTCTGAACTTTGAAATAGCTCTCAAAGTTCTGAAATTAACAGAAATTTATTTGCAAATATATTTTTTATTTTCTAAAAACTGAAGCTTAATGTAGRCAAGTTATATCACTTTGCTTGCTTCTTTAGAGAACTGAATAGTAGTTTTGAAATTGACTCTTCACATCTGGCTTACTGTCATCAGAAGAGAAAAAAGGCAACACAGCCTGTTGCTGCAACTTATCTAAATAAATAAAGTAGTATATCCTTAGCTGTGCATAATGCAGAAAACTAAGCWGTAGTTGTATTATGAGTTTTTCTTAATCCTTTTTGAAAGTTTGAGGGTTTTTTAATTGGCAAAATCTGAAAACATATGGAAATATGTATAAAACACACAGTAAAAATTTAAAAAGAAGGTTTGGAAAGTTTGCTTAGAATATCTCTCACTTGTAGGAAGGCTTGAAAGTATCTATTAAGCTGTCAATGACTAACCAGCCTAACTTTTTTTTAAAACTTCAGTAATTGATTTGTCAAACTGAAAGTGCATGTTTTAGTTGTTARTTGTGTGTTGAACAGTCAGGGTTTTAAGATATATTTGCATAGCCTAGAAAGGGCTATAATGCAGATTCTGTAGATGTGTAGGACAAGGTGCTTGTCCCCCTAGTGTGTTTATAATAGGCTGCTCATGGTCTCCTTAGACTAATGCATATGCTTACCTTTAAGAAGATGAATGAYCTCACTGAATTTACTGGAATTACCAGTCTGTCTATACTTAGCCCTCAGTTTTGACAACCTCCAAAAAGTTACTACTGTTCTGATTATATTAGATCAAAAGAAAGACGCAGGCATTTGTGTGTGAATTGTGCCTCAATGTCAAATGAATGTTTAACTTATTAGAATAGAATGAACTTTTTTTGGTGCAGATTCAGGTACAATGCACTGCTGTAGGCAGTTTCACTAATTTGCCTTGTAGAGCAAATAATTGGCAGGGGGGGTTAATCAAACAAAAACCCTCCAATCTAAAATGAACAAACAGACAAATGAGACCAAAGGCTAGGATTGAAACTTTTGTCTTTCTTTTGGCATATGTTCATTTTCCGAAGGCATTATTTCATTGAAATACTTAAATTTCATTTCTGCTGGGCTGAACAATATCAAATTAGTTTTCTTCATTCAGAAGCTATTACAAATCAGTGAAAGGCCTTGTATGTGACTTGCCTTGTGCTTGAAAGGGGACATCGTACTGGTTTTTCCCCCCGTAACAGTGTGTTCTTGGCTCCTTCCTCTGTGTTGGCAGCAGTAATTATGCAGCTGTGCCTTAAGTAAAGTCGGGTTGCTGACCTGATGGGGAAACTAAACCTGCCTATCTCCCTTTTTTACTCCTCGTCCCCTGCCCTGAATTCCAGTAGCGTACTTTTCAAGTTGGCTTTTAATAAAAGGCTGGCATTAGAAAATGGAGACCTTGAAGTAGCACTGAGTGGCTGTATTGGAAAGCTGAAAAACATGAAATGGCTGTTCAATGATACATGTATAATAATTATARCTCATGATAAAGCAGTTGCTTGCAACACTTTAGCTGTCATACTAATATTAGTTAGAGCTCTTCCAGCTCTGTCTTACGTGGTTATTTACCTATGTTAGATAAAGTGRGAGGGGATGATGATTTTTACCAAAAGTATGAGGGTATCCTTGCACTAGTGATGTGACAACTGCTGTTAAAAAAGTCAGTAAAAATTGACATGGATGTTTWGTCGTGTTCTACATTTTAGAATTATGACTAATTCTTAATGTTTATTAGCTGCCCATGTCTACTAACTTTTTGTAAGAAGAATGAAGCCTGTTCTTTGGTAGCATTCTTTAAAAAATAGTGGCCAGTTTTGACAGAAATACAAAAATTCAATGTCATGACTACAYTGACAAAGGAAAACCCTCTTAATACTACTTCATCTTGAACAGAATTCATAAGCCATGCATGCCAATATAAATGAGGTGGTCATGCACAGGGAATACACACTGGTAACATCCTTAGTTGCACCAAAATATTGGTCTGGTGCAAGATTTCTTAGTTTAGTCAGTGTTCTAAAGTTGAAATTGCAGCTAGGTTTATTCACATGCAGGTGAAAATGTTTAGAAAGACTGCGTTTGAAATCTCTTCAGCTTAGCTCTAATTTAAACAAAGTGTGCATATTTTGCCAAAAGAAAAAGTGAGTAGTCAGAAAAGCAAGTAATAAGGTATGTATATGACAGAAAATTTCTTGACTTCAGGGGACCTTTGCAGTCTTTGAGGGTGGAACGCTGGTAACTGAAGTAAAGTTAACTTCATGTGGTATTTGTACTTTCTTAACAACTGCTGTAAAATTTGCTTGGTAATGGTTCAGCTTTGATTTGAAGAAAAGGATCAAAAATGTTGTGGAAAGTCAAAATCACTCCTCGTTTTTCTGTATGGGAGAAGGATGTTAGTGGAGAGAATGTACACTCCTTCCAGTGTATAGTTACTTTTYTACAGGGTTGTTGCTATATGTATCTGTTGGGCAAGATGGTCCGGAAGAGCTTGCCTTCTGTGTTAACAGAACAATTGTAGCATACAGCTACTGTGTAAACTGTAATTGCACTTAGTAAATGTTTTTCATTCATACAATATAAATGAGGTGATTTTTTAAACAAAATCTTTCAAGATGTAAAGCAAAAGAAATTGTTTGAGAAGTGACAGAAACACTTGCGCTGTTTTTAACTCAATATGCATTGTAGTATATCTAATYACAGCATGATTTTTTTTCAGAGCCAAGTCTCTTTTTTCTCAATCTAATCTGCACAAGTTTAGTAAAAGACTTAAAAGTGTGAGTTGAGGTTAAGATGTTATCCKGTTTGAATGCCAGAGACTTTGCTTTCCCTTATCTTTCACTATTATGAAATAAAGAGATTTTGGAAAGTAAGGTTGAGTGAACTTCCCCTGCACCCTGCTATTGTTTCTTTTAAACCAGACAGAATCAGAGCATAGAAAAATYGATTTCCTGTTTTAAAATGAACATTTGGCATGATTTCCTCCTTTTCATGTCAACCAATTGTAATGTTCTTTATATTCGGAAAGTTGGTGTTTTAACTGAAGTACTGAAATCCAAGATTAACACTTGCGGCTGGAGCYGATAAAGCTGTTGAAGTTTGTTGTATCAGTAACTGAGGATGTAGCTCTTGGGAAATTTAGAATAAAGTTAAATGCTATAAGAAGGTTTAGTGGGAAATATTGGCAGTTTAATCTATTTAAAATCTACTCATGTAGGTATGGTAAGCATCAATGAGCTGACCTGTTCAGTTTTATCATATTATGTGTAAAATAAGTTACTATCTTTATATGATTAAAGAAGAGCTCATGCCATAAGTGCCACCTATGAATATTTACATGTTAAAAAGGAGACTTTTAATTTCTATTACTGGAATCCATTGGTAGCTTTTTGTCAAATCGTGATATTTTAGGAATGAATTTTTTTCTGTCAAAGAAAATATTTATGGCACTATTGATATTTGGCTAGGAATTGCCAATCTGTTCTTGGAGTGAATTGTTGTTCATGCTCAATGAAAACTTACATTATCCTGCTTAATTTGTTATACTAAAACCAAGGTAGGCACAAAGCAGTAATTTTATGGCGTTTTGTTTTTTTTTTTTTAATTGAGGCAGAGTAGTCTGCGGTTTCCTTTCAGCTCTTGGATGCTTTGCTCCAGTTCAGAGCAGAGTTGGAAAAGAATCAGTATTGGCCATTAGCCCACATTCTCGGATATTTTCCTGCAGTGGGCACCAGTACAAAGTCCKGCTTCAATTAGTTCTGTCTGGTTTTGCCACCCAATTACTAAAGTAATTACAAGATAAAACATGAAAAAAGTAT